CTGGGTGATTAGCTTGGTTCCTGTTGGTGTTTCATTGAGGGTTTGAGTACAGACACCTGACCTCCAGGGTGGAGGAGGGACAAGGTGAGAGAGGTAGATGTCAGACCTCTGGCATGTCCCTGGTGCACATTCAGCTAATTCCATCCGTCTTCCTTCTTCTCTCTGCCTCTCTGTCACTCAGGGGATGACATTAGTGTGAACTTGGTGTTGAAAGAGATGGGTCATTATGGTGGGGGGAGGAGGACAAAGTAAGTGCTTCCCCTCACTGGTAGCAACAGTTGTCTTGATGGTAACTTACATTTATTAAGTACACACCAAAGGCCCTGCCAATGAAACACAAGCTCCCTCCACAGAGTTCACCGCTGCTCACTATTTGTGTGTGGAGGTGGGAGTCTGTTTGAGCTGGAATTCAGCTGAGTTCAGAAATGCCAAGACTATACTTTCTTTTCTTTCTCACATGCCTGGCTTTTGCTGTCAGCCTGCTTTCGGCAAAACACAGCAGTTATTTTCTGCCCTCAGATTAGAGTTCGTATATCCTTACCTAACTCGCAGGTCCCACGAGGGCTCTGAGCAGCCTCTGGGTCAACAGTCACTTACTCCTGAACCATCTCCGCCTGGTGTGATGGGCCTCAGATGATTTCTTCATGTTTGCTAAGACTCCAGAGAAGCATGGGAACACTACCCTTGTTGGCCCTCAGGCCATGCATCTTTCCGGTTAGACGAAACATCAGAGCAGAGGTGAAACACGGGGAGCACTTCCTATTCTGCCTTCTCCTCGTGTGGATTGCTGCTGTCAGCTCCTCCCTGAGTCCTTGGATACATCTTGTGTCTTCCTAAGAAACTGGGTCCGCGTCTAAGTTCTGCTCTCAACTCTGCTCCCTTCAGAGTCTGTCACACAAGGGCCAAGGTTTCCATAGCCACACGCTTGTGAGCACTACGGTTTTAGTCATACAGGCTTTCATCATTGCTGACTTGCACTGGAGCAGTCATGCCCAGAGCCCACTGGGTGATCATGAGAGTCAGATGAAAACATACGAGCCGGTGGAAGGGCTCGTTGGGAACAGCCCTCCATCGCCCTCCATCGCTTTAGCGGGATGACCTGCACCTTTTTATCTCCTCTTTCAGATACAGCAGTGAGCAGAGACCCAATTACAGTGGGAACAGGTAGGTTCCCCATCGTCATCATCCTGACCACTACGTCACTGCATCATCGGGTGGAGTTTAGAGAATGGTAGGGGCTAGAAACACTAGTATCAGATGTCCTCCCTGAAACCTCTCAGAGCGTAGTGTGGCTAGGCAGCCGAGGCAGTGTCCATAGGCGAGGAGTCGTCCAGTGTCTCCCCATCCCCCTCAATGTCTTCTCCAAGGAAGGAGTGGGAGGTGCCCTGTTTCAGGAGAGGTGGCACTCTCAGGCTACGTGGTCTCCCTGATGGGACACACATGCAGGCTGACCTGGTCATCATGGCTCTGAGGCTGCAATGCCTGGTGGGAGGAGAGTGCATTCATCTTCCATTGGGACCAGTGAGTAGGACATGGAGGGAGCGGAGGAACTGACCTTATCCTGGGTGAAAGGCTCCATTCTCCGTGGGGAACTGGCATGGGCATCACACATACATACGTAAGGCAGGTGAGGAACAGAGATGTTGCCCTTCAGTGCAGAGTTCCTGGGCCTCAAGAAGAGACGGAATCACTGTCGGTATTCATAAGAAGACTTGAATATGCATGACCAATCTGTTGCTATTGGGAAGCACTCTTGTTTGTGTACAAACTCTAAGGCATTGACATTTAAAACAGAATCTAACAAGAAATCCTTGCATCACCTCTTAGGGACATTTTCAAGTTTGGAGCTAATG